TCATCAACCTTTGTCAACCTAAATTCTTGGAACTACGACACAATTAGAGACAAGAAATGTGTCATCAAGTGTATTGTTCTTAAAAACTTTCACTTTAAATTAGTAGATGATAATCATATTTTATTATAATTTTATACCCTCATTATCTATTTTATATGAATAAATATGCCACTAATAATTGTTTTTAGCTTAGTTTGCACATAAATGAATAAAAATATAAATAAATATTATTAAATATAAAAACCCTCAAATCCTCTCTTCTCTATTTTATTTTAGAATTGTGAGAAGCCCATGAAGCTATGAAGCCCTTGAAGCCAAAGAGAAAAATAAACTCTTTAAATATTTCATGAATTAATGAAGCCCAAAACGTCAAAGCTCATGAAGCAAAGCCTTACCTCTTGTACGCATTGTGAACAATCCAAAAATCAAGCTAGAAGCCCATGAAGCAAAAACCCAGAATCAAAACAATGAAGCATGAATCATGAAGAAATGAAGCAAAGCTCAAAGGAAAATCAAGAAGCCCAATGGAAAATCAATAAGTAAAAGGCCCAAGAATCCAAGCCCAAAAACTCATAAAGGCTAAAAATGATTCCTTAGAGCTTAAGTCTTCATCCAAGGGTTCTCATTCATTGTTGTTTACTATAAATAGGGGTAGAGAGTGAGAGGTTAGAGGTGTGAAAATTTTTGCAACTCCATTTGGAGAGGAGGGTTTCTCTTAATTGAGAAGATCTTCTAATTTTATAACTTTTTGTTATAATCAATAAAAGAATTTTTTCACCTCTTTATATTTTTTTTTCTTCTCTTTGTTTGATGATGAAGCTGAAGATGTGATGAAGATGAAGATCAAGAGTGAGGTTTGCTTTCATCTTGAGGCTAGAACCCTCTTTGGTGATAAATTTTCTCTTTGTTAATTTTTTTTTATTTTCTTGCTTAAATAGCCAAGAGGCTAGAACCCTCTTACCTTAGATTTATTTTATGCTTATAGAGTAGATTTATTTCATGCTTATGAGTAGATTTATTTCATGCTTATAAAGTAGATTTATTTTCTCGTATTTAATTCTTGCAATTTATTTTGTAGTTTAGTTTTTGCAATTTATTTTATAGTTAGATTTTGTTTTCTTGCATTATTCACCTTGGGGCTAGAACCCTCTCGGGAATTACCATTTTCTAAGAAGTGGATTCAATTATAGATTCCTCATATCTTTAATTGAATCTTTCATCTTTACTTTCTTGAATTTTCTTTTTATTCTTGATTTTTCTTTTTGATTCTTGATTTTATTCATCTTTCTTTCTCTCCTTGTGAAAATCATTCATTCTTTGTCACATCCACTCTCACTTACATTTTGTGCCGATTTACATACTATTACTTTCACTCTCTCTATCTCTCCACAATCACATTCTATCATCACTCTCATTTGTCACGCACACAACATACGAACTGATTCTAATAATTTCCTACAAACACCTTCCTCGTGGGATCGATAACTTTTTATACTATAACTTAATTAATTGTGCATTTGTAATTTTTGGTATATGTTTATGCCGCATCAGTAGAAGATGATGAATTTGAAGATATGAATAGAGATGATTTTTATCCTGCATTTGAAAAATTTCTTGTCAATCTTAACGTGATATTTTAAAATATTATCATGAGGAACAAAAAAAAATCTTATTTTTAAAATTTAAATTGTAAATTTTCTCTAACTTCTGATATTTGGAAATCTAGAGCACAAACTGGTTATTTATGTACCGCAACACACTTGATTAATGGTAGTTGGGAAATGTTTAAAAGAATTATTTTTTATTGTATTTAAAGATTCACACACTGGTGTTAATATTGCAAATTTAATATTAGAAGAACTTACATGATTAGAAATTTCTAAAAAAATATTTTCTCTTTCACTAGATAATGCAAGAAATAATAATGTAATTGCAGACTATATGAAATCATCTTTGCTACTGCCATGTCACGGTGGTATTTTTCATATTAGATGCATGTGTCATATTTTAAATTTAATTGTTCAAAGTTCATTTAATGAAGTTAAATCCATGATAGAAAAGGTTAGGGTTATAGCTTATGCTCATAATGCTTTTGAACAAAGACTTAAAAGATAAAAACAGTTGTGTAAAAGAAAAAATTTAAAACACAGATTAATTTCAAAAGATGCTGACCACATGTGGAATTCCACCTATGCAAAATGTTAAACGTATCAATAGAGTATAAAAAAATTATAAATAATTTTATTACATTCTATGCTTCTAGTTCTAGCTTTGGTAGTATGTATGGAATAACTGATGATGAATGGACAGCTATATATAGTGTAAGAGAGATGTTACAAGTTTTTTATGAAGCTACTATGTTATTATCTTGTTGTTATTATCCAATTATTACTCAAGCTACTTTACAACTTTTAAATATTCATATCCTATATTTTTCATCATGGCTCGTGACTTATCAACAGTGAAGGTTTCTACAGTAGCTTCAGAATCTACCTTTAGCACATCAGGATATTTGATCGATGACCACAGAACATCGCTAGATCCGTTTACCGTACATGCGGTTAATGTGCCTACAAGATTGGTGGAGGTCCAAGAAGAGAATTCAAGGCATTAATCGAATGGCTAGTATTGAAGATAAACTTGAAGAGTTGAGATTAGGAGATAGAGATAAAGAGTAGAAATTACTCATTAGTTTGTAATTTTTATTTCTTAGCTGTAAAATTGTGATAAATTATTTTTAAAAGAGTTGCAAATGATAGTAATATAGATGAGTAGGTGTCAACCTAGTTGGGATATATTCATCTATTATGATGCGAGAAATTTCAAAAAATATTTGTAATTGTTAGTGATTACGAATAAAGAATTTATTTTTTATCATTTTAATTTCGATGATATTTGTATTTGTAAATTTTATAATTACAAGTGATTAATAATTGATTTATTTTCAAAATTGTGCATATTTTATTTTTTATTACTTTTGAAATTTTATTTTTTTTTAAATAACTTAAAAAAAACCAGGTCGGCCTAGTGCCCGGACCAACTAGGTCTGGACCAACTAGGCTCGGGTCCGGGTTGCTCTTTTTGCCCACCTCGGATCTAGTTTTATGGATCGGGTCGGACCGGGCCAGCCCAGTTGGACAGCCCTAAATGTGCTCCCCCTTAGATATGGGTTCATCCTTCATGTAACTTAGCAAAAACTCTGAAAAACCTAATGGAGACTTGAAGTTCTCTTTTTTCAAAAGTCACTTGAAATGTTCTTAGATTTGTCATCTCCGGATTGTTCAGTCAAAAGAACTTCAATAAACCACCGTAGGACTCCTCGTATGAAGAACTCCAGGTATCTATGCAATAAGAAATCTATAGAAATTAAATATAATTTTGTTCAGAATCAATCAGATGAAGTACTCTAGGATACATGCCTACAAAAACATGGTTGCTGATTTGCTGAAGATCCTTAAGATGAATATTATATTATTTTGATTTTTACATTTATGAATGAGTTGTGTCTTCTAGTTGCAACTTACGACAATGTTATGTTTCATTCAATTTTTTGGCTTGTTTGAAATAAGTCATGTGATTGATGAAAGATTAAAACTTAGAATGTTATGTCAAGAAGATTTTAGATTGGTTAGAAATTGTCTTATCCCATAAGCAGTTCGTAATATCGATGGATGGGCAGGTTTGACTGATTTAAAATTTTCCAAATAAAAGTTGGAATACTCCTCCAAGCAGAAGCCCGTGCAAGTCAGCATCTCCAGGATCAGCATTGGACGAACCAAGTGTGAAGCCTAGTGAAGATTTACCAAGCTGAAGGGTTGAAACCCTAACTATTGATGAAGGTGATTATTCTCCATCACTCGAATTATCGTTGGCAATATGATGTCGCTTATGATATTTCGGCAGATGTAAATTTTGCCACTGAATCTCCTATAAAAGTGACAAGGTTGCGGAGGAACAAAAAGGGCTTTTTTTAATTGGGTTTGCTTAAACATGCATCATAAACTGAGGTTGGTGTATTACTTTGCAAAGCTTTTTTGGTACCTGAATCAATAGTTTGTACACAAAAAAAAAATTTGATTGTCCAAGACAGAAAGAATAAGAAGTGTTAATATCTGATTAGTCTACTCCTATTACTTTTCGTTTGAGACTAAACTTGAGGTTGCTTCCACGTACTACTCTCTTCATTTCTTTATGGAAATTCCAAAGCACACCTATGAGCAGAGCGACCTAAGGAGCCTTGAGCGCGTCTGTCATTTTCTTTCGTATTCTTTTCTCTTCTCTTTGTCGTGAAAGATAAGGGCTTCCTTGTGTTTGATAACATCGAATACGACAGACAGAGAAGAATATCCAAAACTCAAGATTCGTCCCCGAAAATTTTAGTTTCATACTCCAAAAAAATAAGAAGGGAGAAAAAAAATAAAAAAAAAAGGAAAATAAGGAATTAGCGTGAGTTGGAAAAGGTGAAGAAAAGAATCCTAGTGGACTAGGAGCATTTTTAACACTTGTAAAAAAAAACACTATCAAATGGTTTCTATAATGCTGACCTCTCTTAAATTAAGGGATTTAACTTCCAAATTTTGGTTTACCCCTTGATCACTCTAAATTTGACAGAAGAATGAAAAGAGAAAAATGGGAAGAGGAGAATTCTAAAGCATCCGCATAAAAGTCTACCATTTGGTGACCCTTGTGATTTTTCCTGAGTGAAAAACGAAGGCAAAGATAAATCAAAATTACGGTAAGGGATGCATTTGGAATAATGAATTATACCATCCAGTAAGATGACGTTCTGAATCCAAACCTGAAAGAAATATTTGAATTGTAAAGAAACACTAACATTTTTTAAGCATTTAAATTCGTAAAGGTTTTTGCATTCAATAGTTAAACTTACCATGGACCTTTATGCAAAAAAAAAAAAAAAAAAAAAAAAAC